AGAAGCTATGTGGCTTCGATATATCACTGATGCGCTGGGTATTCCTCCGTCCAAACCGAAGTTATACTGTGACAATGAGTCGACTATCTGTGTCACCAAAAATCCGGTTCTTCATGATCGCATGAAGCATGTGGGCACAGACTGTCACTTTGTACGAGATGAGGTTATGGCAGGCACTATGACTCCACATCATGTTTCCTCCTCAGAGCAGCTAGCAGACATTCTTACCAAACCGCTTTCGCCAGTTCCTTTTGAGTACTTATGTTCCAAGCTGCCCCTCGTCTTCGTTGATCAGCTTGCGGGGTGATATTAGGAAGTATAATTAAATTAGGATACTTCTTTCCTTTCCTACTAGGATTATTCTTTCCTTTCCTACTTGTACTTTGATTACTCTTGTATTCCCTATATATAGGGTCATATCTCTCAATATTCAATAAGACAAGTTATTATCAAATTGTATCATACCCAAACACAATTTCTTTTGGATTTGGTTATTAGTTACAATATTTATACTTCAATGATTCAACCATCTCATGTATGAGTAAATATTTATATTTATATTTTTATGGAGCAAACGGTTGGAACTTGCAATTATATTTCGAGAACACGGTCTCTTTGGCTAGAGTTAGCTAGTATTTGACTATTGAGTGTGCACTGTATTAAAAAAAAAAGGTAACCACAATCATATTTTATTAGTCGCTCCATGGATTACAATATTCCTTCATGTATAGTATCGTATGACAGTACAACTTAGTGATTGTGGAAGTATGAGTTAGAAACCCTTCTTTGAAGGTGGTCTAATACAATGAGAAGAATAATTAGCTACATTAACTCCTTGACTCTCTCCTTAATTTTGAATCCCTTGGAAAAGGGATTTAGTATATATGATACTTCCTCCGTCTCTAAATAAATTTCTTCTTTCGTTTTTCTTTGTCCCTAAATAAACTTCTTTTTTCCCTTAAAAAACCTCTTTTACCCCTTACTTTTTCATACACTACCTATCACATCATACCTTTTTATTAATAATCTACCTATCACATCTTACTTTTACACATCACATCAAGGGTATTTTTGGAAAGTCAACACTAAAATTAAATATCCCTCCCTTAAATCCTCAAAAAGTCAAAAATGGAAGTTTATTTAGGGACGGAGGGAGTATAATCTTTATGTTTTAAAATACTTTCTCTTTCATTTTTTTCTCAATCCCCAATTTGCAAACACTTTCATTTTCTATTAAAAACCTATTTTTATCCATTTTTTACCTTATCTATCACATCATATTTTTTCACTAGTAATTTATCATCACATCAATGACAAAATTAGAAAACCAACTCCAAATAAAAAATTTTATATATGCCCAAAGTCAATATAAGAATTGTTTATAGAAACGGATGGAGAAATAAAGAAATACTCGTAAATAAATAAATTCTCCCTCTGTCTCACATATTTCTTCCATTTTTACTTGAAACAATTTCTAATGCAACATTTTAATCATTAATGTATCTATTTATGTTTAGACACATATATAGCACTATATATAAATATGATATTTCAACACTATGTTTTAAAATTAAACTATTGATACTATTGACCTCCAAAATCATAAATGGAAGAAAGATATGGAATAAATGGAGTATGTAAATTCAAACATAAGGAGTACAACATTATAAGTAGATCCTATCTATAATTAGAAATGATATTTTTTTTAAACAAAATGACCCCTAAGTAAAATATTTTCTGAGCTTGAGGTTTGGGAATGAAGAATATTACTTAGAAATAAAGAATAAAATATATAGGAGTAATACAGATGAAAAAACAATGTGTAATTTTTTCAAATTTTTAATCTCAAAATAAGACGTAGTGTTATAATATTGATACAGAGTATATAATACCAGAAAAATTATGAAATAATGATACAGAATTCTATTTTGCAAAACACATTCTCACATTAAAGTAATTCTATTTTGAATATAAAACATGACACTCTAATTTTGGTGGAAAGGGACATCTTTTGCTCTAATTTTGGGTGCTAATTACTTTATTACTAATGAATTTAATCTGTAATTTAATTTGTTAACCATATTTCCTGCTTTTACTTGGTTCATCAAATAACTTAGAAGTTAGAACCAAGTTTTCTTCACATAAACAAGAAAATGACCCTTAAAATGGTAGTTAGTTAAAAAGCTCAGCTATTAGCCAAACAACCCAATCAAATACGAGTATTCCGTAAAACCGAAATACTTCGACGGTTCAACGGACTTCAACCTCAAAGGCTTGTAAATTTGGGCTTCTATAGTGATGGACTACCAGTGTGGGTACTTCGATGGATACTATAAATGGGCCTGATAAGTATACAATGATGGGACTTTGTGGATACAGTAGGCCACATTCTAATTAAGCACAGATTATGTGTTCTTATTCGCCATTCGGAACCATACTTTTGTATTTGGATTTGTACGGAATAAAATTTCATAGCAACTTGAAATATTTGGTTTGGTATCAATACAAACTAAATTTAATGTTATTTTGTGTCATGCTTACCACAACAACAACAACAACTCAGGTAGACCCTACTGTTGTGGGATTTACCTGGGTTGTTGTTGTGTCATGCTTACCACTAATTCCTTTACTAGATTATGTTAATTTATGGCTAAATTATACACCTTTACTAAACTAACCTTTTATAATCGACTCCAAAGTCAAAATTAACTTTTGGGGTGCAATTGACGGAGGTAGAGGGGTGTGTTCGGGTCGGGGCGGGGTGGGGGGAGATTAAGGGGGAGTGGGAACCGTCAATTTTACGAACGGGGCGCTGGAGCACCCCCGGGTCATCCTATGACATTGGAACCCAATGTCATGGGAACCCCACCCCTAAAAAGTTAAGCAACTACAACTACAAATAGTGGCGCCAAAGTTGTACGTAATGGCGTTCAATTTAATTTTTTAATACTAGTTCTTGTTATTGATTAATTAAAGTATTACTATATTTTTATTTCAATAACGGTGGGCTAATATATAAGAAAAAAACTTTAAAAAAAGAAAATGTAATAAGGTGAGATTATAATACACCTACAATTCATTAGAAAGTGAGTTTTATTTTGCACAACACCGTAAAAGATGTGATTAGTAAAAAAATGATAAATATTTATTTCGATAATGATATAGTGGTGGACTGAGATAGACAAAGACTTAAAAATTAAAAAATTTAAAAAGTGAGAGAATTATACATATGCAATTCATTAAAAATGAGATTGTTTTGCGCAACTCTATAAAAATGGGATTATTTTAGGCAAATAAGAAAGCAAAAAATATTTTTAAAATTTCAACGATGCAACATTTTTAGGCGAGAATGAAGCTAAGCAAGCAAATGATAAGATGCATGCATGCAACATATGGCATATGTTATATGATCATCACTCTCTCATTTTACTCAAGGTGGACGGACTAGAGACAAACACTCCTCATAAGTCAATCACTTGGTCATCATTTTTATTAACTAATTAATGTCTTTAATTATTACAAATGAAACAAAATATACTCCATTAGTATATAACAAATGTTGTTCAATTCTCCACCACCAATCCAATCCAATTAAGCACCATATCAATTGATACACTCCCATCCTTCCACTTGTCACACCAATACTCACCCTCTCACATGCACTCTTATATAGGAGTCTTATATATTATTTCCACCATAGAAACAACCCCACATTATTTCCTCGTGTAGATTAGCTACAAACTAGGCCCAACATTAAACTCTCTCCTTTTTACCATTAATCCTGGCCTCATATCTCTCAAACAACTCCTACAAGAACAAACTTCATTTCCTCCACTCTACACCATTTCATCATCTCTCACCCATCTTATTATCAGCTTCTTGATTGACACTCATCACACTTCATTAATTACATGGCTGCTTGTATTGAACAATCTGGGCAGCAACAACAACAACAACCTAGCTTTAAGCATTATTGTAGGGTATGTAAGAAGGGGTTTATGTGCGGAAGAGCCCTTGGAGGGCACATGAGAGCTCATGGCATTGGAGATGAGAGTGCCATCATGGACGACGAGGACGACGAAGAACAGGCTAGCGATTGGGAAGAACATAATAACAGTAAGATTAACGAAGGCGGGGGCGGTAGCGATCCCCAGAGGACGAGCATCAAGAGGATGTACCAGTTGAGAGCGAACCCTAATCGCCTCAAGAGCGTTAGGGTTTGTGAGAATTGCGGGAAGGAGTTCTTCTCGTGGAAGTCCTTCCTCGAGCACGGCAAGTGCAGCTCCGACGACGCCGAGTCGCCGGCGTCGTCACGCCAGGGATCGGAGGAGGAGGACGACGATTTCGGGCGGTGTGGCGGCCAGGGATGGTCGAAGAGGAAGAGATCCCTCAGAGCTAAAGTTGGTGGTAGTGGCGGCGGCGGCTTTGATGGTGCCACCGCTGCGGCTCAGTTTAGCGAAGAGGAAGACATCCTCCTCGCCAGATGCCTCATTGACTTGGCCAATGCCAGGGTGGACAACAACAACAACATCGACAACAACAACAACAACAAGAATATTAATAATAATAATTCTATGGTTTCCGAGCAGGAGGCGGAGTCAAGTGCCGCCTCCGTGGAGGAGAGGCGATACATGCCCCCGCCACCAACGTTTGTGGCTCCGCTCGCCAGTCGGCCGCGATTCCCTATGCCGGTTCAAGTAGTAGACAAGGCCAAAGGCATAACTTCCTCCTCCTCTTCTTCCCCTTCCAAAGGTCTCTTTGAATGCAAAGCGTGCAAGAAAGTTTTCACGTCGCATCAAGCCCTAGGTGGTCACCGGGCGAGCCACAAGAAGGTTAAAGGGTGCTACGCCGCCAAGCAGGACCATCTAGACAATGACGGCGACGACGATCTAACCGCCGCCGCCGCGCACGACGAGTACTCCCCTTCCTCCAACAGATCCTCCTCCTCCTACCACCACCTCGAGAGCGGCGGTGCCGCCGCGGGAGCTTCCAGAAGGAAGCCCCGGGACCACGAATGCTCCATCTGCCACCGGGTCTTTTCGACCGGGCAGGCATTGGGAGGTCACAAGAGATGCCACTGGATCACAACGTCTAATTCTTATTCCCACGCGGCGGCCGCCGTCCCGAAGTTCCATTTCCCGGGGAGGAGGACGCCAGCCGAGGGCTCGGCACTCGACCTCAACCTCCCCGCGAACGGGGACGACATGTCGGCCGAAATAAGGCGGGACCCTCGAAACCCGTTGAGCTTCGAGGTGTCCACGGACGTCCGGATGCTCACGATGTGGAGCCAGCCGGACGACAACAACGACTACTACAACAACGACAACTACGGCGATGACAACATCAACAAGGCTGTCGTTGTTGCAGATGTTGTGGCTGCCGCCGCGGCCGGAGGCGGCCACGGCGGCATAAGTGCTAAAAATGAGGAAGGGGAGGGTAAAAAGGTGGAAATAGAAAAGCTGAGTGAGATGAAGCAGATGAGTAGCGTTAAGGGCAATGATTCGCCGTGGTTACAGGTTGGAATTGGTTCCACGACTGAGGTTGTTGCCCCAATTCTTAATTAATCAATTTAATTAATTTAATATTATACATATAATTGCTGAATAATACGTACTCCTTAGCTTGAATTGAGTGTATAGTAATTCATTCAGTCATCAAACAGTACAGTATTGTTCCATCTTAGTATTGATCAATTTTGATATATATACACACACACACATTATTCAGTTCACTCATTATGATCATGTTAATATAATTATGGCCGGGAAAAGTGTTTTTTTTGTCAGCATTTTAAATAAAATTTCAATGATGTAGATTAATTTTGAAAATGTTAACGCTAAGGACTACCGTCAGATTAATTTTTCAAAACACTAATGCTAACATCTAACGCAAATGTCAAACAAACTCTATATATAGAGTACTTTCTCTATGTATTAGTCCCAAAGAAATGAAAAGTGTTAAAAAAGGAGTTTGAGAATTTTTTTGTAATGCATGTGAAAGTTTTGACTACTTTCGTCATAGAATATTTTTTTTTCGTCATAGAATATTTATTCTATTTTGACTTTTAATATTCAGAATTGATAAACATGAATTATCAATTCTTGTAAAATATTTTCAAAATATCATTTTATCTAAATATCTTACTATGATTGTTTTTAATAATAGGCTAGAAATCAATCTAATTAGAAGTAAAAAGTCAAAATTAAACCAATATTATATGATACCTGTACTTTTTCTAAATTTATTACTCCGTATTTTCGATCAGTCTAAAGTCTAAATGCTACGCCTACGCGTTGAGTCAAAGTGTTAACCTAAATGAGTTGATATGCAAATATTTTAAAAGATTATGAAAATTTATTTGTTTTTAAAATTTAAAAACAATTGGGCTTAGTATGACTTATAGTCACTACCTTCCAATCTTTGGCAATCCATTCTCTACATCTCTTTACGAGAATGCCCCGTTGTCACAATGGTTCCATGCACCATTGAGCCAATCTACATGCTCATTCGTTTCCAACATAAATCACCTATAGGATAGACGACTCTGCTTTTATATATGCAAAGGTAAATTACTATTCATTCTTAGTTCTTAAATTTTCTTCACTTTCTTCTAATTCTTCCATCATAATATGCATAAGCTTTTTTTGTATTTAAAGAAAACATTAGGGTAAGGTCAGCATACACATACCCTTCTCAAATTCTACTTTCGGGGGATTTTACTCGATTGCTGTTATTGTTGAGTGATGATATTAATTATCTAGAGTGAGTGTATCTTTAAAAATTAAAATATACATACTTTTGATTTGAGAGGGAATTTTTATATGTCAAAAAAATAAAAAAAAATTGAGAATGTTTTCCGTATATATGAGTAACAATTGGTGTGAAGTGGGAAGAGAAATGCATGTCACCTACTCCCTCCCTTTTAGTCCCCTCTCTCTTTACACTCCTTCAAAGAAACTCACATACACTTCAAGTGATCTTCATCCAAAACAAACCCAACAAAGAAAAAGTTCACTTCTAGATTTACAAAAAAAAAGAAAAGAAAGAACAAATCTCCCTGTGGGAGACAATGGAGGAACACAAGTGTAAGCTTTGGTGGAGGAAATTCGCAAGTTCCCCGGAGGAAGACGGCGCTTACTGCTTGATGATGTTGTCCAGAGACAAATGGAGCGGCGGCGGCGGCGAGGAGGGGTTGGAGAACTCCGGGGATTCCGGCGAAGAGGCTGTGGCTGACAAGAAAGGTGCCAAGAGAAAGAGGAAATACTACACATGCGGTGGGAGTTGCAGAAGGGTGTTTAGGTCTTATCAGGCACTTGGGGGGCACAGAGCAAGTCACAAGAAGTTGATGTTCAAAGGGGCGGCGGCGGCAGCCGCCGCGGAGGTGGTGGAGGAAAATGCCGGGGAGGATGAGAAAACCCATGAATGCCCTTTCTGCTACAGAGTGTTTTCTTCAGGGCAAGCCTTGGGTGGGCACAAGAGATCTCATCTCACTGCACCACTACCACCACCTTAATTATTAATCCTTCAATTTCCTTTCCCCATCAAAACTACTTTAACTTCATTAGAGAGTTAGTTACAACACTATTTCAAACTAACAATGAAATTTTGTTAGTGGTTTGCTAAATATGAAGAGGTTCCTGTTCTTTGTGGTGCTTGTTTTGGTTGGCCTAGTTATAGCAATGTATGATTTGTGATGTTTATGTGTAACTTGTTTGTGCTTTGGGACCATTATTCTCTAAGGAATAACCCCTTTGCTTTCAACTAGAGATTTTACTATTTATTTTGTGTGAAATTTTACTGGATTTGTTATTCATTTGTTTGTAATGTTTAACTTGTTTGTCATGCATAAAAGTATCAATAAAAAAGTTTAAGAAATGATATGGAAGTCTATGGCTAAAGGAAGACCAGGATAAGCAAAACCAAAGAAAAGCTCCATTATTCCAAACAAATGACAATTCAAACAAAACCGCAAAATAAGTGTATATAGTAAAACAAATGACCACATGGGAAAATTCATAATGTTTTTTGTTTAATGTATATATTGGACACACACATCAGAGCCAAAATCAGTCATCAACCTCAGCTCGGATTTCCCTTTGCAGCTCTTCTTTGTACTCATCGAAGCTCCCGGGGAATGGCGTGACAGTCCCATCCTCCACCACCCAAATCTCACTCACTTCCTCGTCGTCGCAGACGCGGGATATGAGCCTCGAGTCGTGACTCACCAGCACAACCCCGCCGGTGAACTCGTCGAGCGCCGCCGCCAGGGCGTCAATGCTCTGCATGTCCAGGTGGTTGGTGGGTTCATCCAGCAGCAGAATGTGGGGCTTGGACATGGAGATGGAGGTGAAGACGACCCGCGATTTCTGGCCGCCGGACAGCTTCGCGATTGGGGTCAGGTGGTTGCGGCTCTCGAGACCGAACTTCCCGAGCCAGGCCCGGACCGCCTCCTGCTTGCTGGGACCCGCTTGGTCGGGGTGGAGGCGGAGGAGGTACTGCACCGGCGTCTCGTCCATCGTCAGGAGATCGACGAAGTGCTGCGAGTACCGCCCGATCCTCAGCTTCTGACTCCTCCGCACCTCTCCCTCGCTCGGGGCCAAGTCGCCGGCGAGAAGGTTGAGGAGGGTTGACTTTCCCGCGCCGTTGGGCCCCACGATGGCGACGCGGGTCCCCATGTCGATGCCGACGTCGACGTTCGAGAGTCGGAAGTCGGGTCGGTTGGGGTAGGAAAAGCTAACTTCAATCAACTGAAGAAGCGGAGGCGTGAGTTCCGTGGGCTCCGGAAAGTGGAACTCGACGGTGTAGTCCCTCCATTTGAGTGGGGCCTCGGGTTTGGGCTCGTCGTCGTCGTCGCCTCCCTTGTCTTTTCCCCTTCTCTTTGATTCTTTTGCAGCGGCGTGTTTAGCGCGGTCCCTTACCTTCTCCTGCTGCACCCTACTCCCAGACCTCTTGGCGTTCTTCAACGCCCTGTCATACTCATCATACTTTTTGTTTGCCTCTTTGCGGCGGTTCTCATAGTTACCTTCAAAAGAATCAAAGTTGCCGCGGTAATAATGGAGCTTCATTTCATGGAGGTGGATGACGTCGGTGCACACGGTGTTGAGGAAATCGCGGTCGTGGGAAACGACAACGAGGGTCTTCTTCCACCTGAATAAGTACTCCTCCAGCCAAAGAACAGCGCGAAGGTCAAGATGGTTGGTGGGTTCATCCAAAAGCAGTAGGGTGGGCTGAACAAAGAGTGCCCTAGCCAGTGAGATTCGCATCCTCCAACCACCACTGAAGGACCGTGTTTGGCGTCCCTGCATTTCCTTGGTAAAACCCAACCCAGCAAGTATTTTGGATGCTTGGGCCTCCGCGGCATCTGACCCCATTATCTGCAACTTTTCGTACAGCTCCGCAAGTTTTTCTCCCACGTCATCTCCTGTGTTATCATCTTCTTCTTCTTCATTGTCACCAACAGAAGCAGATAAATCCTGAACCTCTTTGCGGGTCTTGATCAGTTCTTCATTAGCTGAAACAACAGCTTCAAGGGCAGTCTTGTCATCGCCAACAACCTCTTGTTCGACCAAGAGGACATCAATGTTTTTCGGGACAGGAATCTTTCGCCACGCAAGTAGTTTCAAAAGGGTTGATTTCCCCTTCCCGTTGGGTCCCACCAGCCCGTATCTCTTGCCATGAGCAATCGTCACGGACGTGTTCTTCAAAAGCTCTTTTCCCCGTGCCGAAACAGAGAAACCGTCTACAGTGATGTCCTTAACATTGGCATCTGCATCATCTTGGCCATCGAGAACAGAAGCACGGCTTCCAATAACAACAGTGAAGGCATCACGGTCGTCCCTGAGAGCCTCCTGCTTTGCCAGCTCAGCAGCATGGGCAGCAAGCATCTCTTTCTTTTCCCGCTTCTTTAGCTCTTTGTCAGTCATAGAGACGTCGAGGGTATTTTCGGCATCATTTCTGTTACGCCCTCTGACACCATGCTTGCGATCACCATTTTGTGCTTCGGTTTCTGCCGGACCTACGTCTTCCGCGTCCTCATCATCAGACGGAGGGAGATCAATCCCAGCAATGTAAGATGAAGCTTTTGGGGGGAGTTTAGTGGTTCTAGAAGAAGAAGAAGAAGAAGCCTTCTTGCTAGGCTCCATTTTAGCAAGCATTGCAGATACCACAATCTTCTCCTTCCCTTCTTTGGAAGTATCCTTGCCACTCCCCTTACTCTTACTTGGTCCTGCCTCATCAGATTTCTTCCTTCCCATTTTAAATGTTTAGCTTCTGAGTTAAATACATTAAAATTAATCCATGATAAACATAAACAATTGTTAATCTTATCATTTTTTTGCAAGTATTACATTTGTGAATCTATAGTCATCACAAAGTGTACCTCTTTGGGTACCAATCACTTGTCATTGGTTTAAAATTAACAATTAAAACTTCAAACCCATATTTTAAAAATTTTCATTGCTTAAACAATACTCCGGAGTTCTACTCAATACAAATAAAAAGAATCAAAACTAGCAACCATCAACACATTACACACGGTTAAAATACTCGGATCGAATTACTTTCTAGTAACAATTTGATTCATCTGTTTTTCATGATTAGTGCATGAGTGAAATTGTTTAGAGTAGTTAAAGAATTACTCTTTACCTATTTTGAAAACCTAATGCCTGTGAATGAGTGAATCTATGATAGAATTTAGGATTGGGTAGAGATAACTGGATTGGGCAATAAGACACTTGGGTTGAACCACATTAAAAGATTGAATCCAATCGATTACTTAGTTCAACTCAGGACCTTATATACCGATAACTTTTCTATTCAATTTCCGATGTGGGATAAACTCTAACACTCCCCCTCAAGTGAACAACCGGGCCATTTTGAATCTAACCGGTTGACCACTTGCAAATGAACTCCCAATCCCTTGAATTTTTTTTTTGAGCGCCAACACCTAAAGACCACGAGCCGCTGGGTATGGACTTCCAGACGAGCAATGGTGTTAAACAGGCCACAGGCCGTTGGGTACACAATCCATACGGACAACTGGGCTAAAGACAAACGGGCCGCTAGGAATGAACGTCTAGACGGACACCTTGACAAACGAGGTGGGCCAAAACCTGCTCTAATACCATGATAGAATTTAGAATTGGGTAGAGATAACTGGATTGGGCAATAAGACACTTGGGTTGAACCACATTAAAAGATTGAATCCAATCGATTACTTAGTTCAACTCAAGACCTTATATACCGATAACTTTTCTATTCAATTTCCGATGTGGGATAAACTCTAACAATCTACGTTATCAATCAAACACAATCAAAGAATAAACAACATACTTTCCAAAAGGCCACTATTCTAATTCAGTTACGAGAAGAAAAGAAAAATATATAAAATAAAAAATATTATAGTAGTATTTCAAGAACACATTTGAAAACATGGGTCTAGCAGAAGATCCGTAGAGTACGATTCGGAATTGGAATTTTGACCATAGATCTAAAAATAAATCATTGAACATCTAATAGTTGGGTTTCGTGCCTGCAGATCGGAAAAAGGGATAATATTGGTTTGAGGTCATTAGCTGAGGCCGGAAGTTGGAGCGTACCTGGAGATTGACGGTCGGAGATATGTCTGAAAGGCGGCGGGAGCGGAGCGGAAGCGATGTTTATGGAGATGGTGAGAGGTTCGAAAAAGCTGTATTAATAATTTTAGTAAATAAAAAGGAACGGGCTTTGTGTCCATGTGTCGAATGTAAGCTTGGTCTTGTGAGTTAACCGGCCCAATATTATTCTTTTCTTTTTAGTGTGGTAAAATATCCAAATAAGATTAGGATTCAACTTATTTTTTCTGTTTAGATTGAATCCAATCAAATAAGGATTCATTTAGATCGAACTAGAAAATGTTGAAAATAATGTTAATTTGTTTCTTTCGTCTAAAAATATTCTTCTCATTTCCTATTTATTTTCACTATTTATTTCATAATATAATACTCATGTCACCTTTTGTTTTCTAGAATTTTTTTATTTACTTTTTAAATAAAAAGATTTTATTTTTGAATTTATGAAATGAAAAATAATTTCAATCAAATCTCATAAATCAAAATGAGAATAATATTTCTGAATAGAGGGAGTATTATCTAGGACTAAATAATACTTATATATGATTAAATGATGTTACGTTATGTTACGTATAATTAAATAATACCCCGTACTCCATGAGTATTATGTGCTCAAAAATATTAACAATAATTATTATTATATTTAAATAAAACTTACTATTATTGTTGCTGATTTTATTTTTACTATTATTATAGTAAAATTAATAGACTAATACGGAGTAACAATTTTTTTTAATAACTATCTTTCCGTCCAATAAAAGAATGCTAATTTTGTATTCACGAAGATTAAAAACTGATAGCCATGATATTGAAAAGATGTTGAATAAATCCCATAGAGTAAATGAATCTAGAATAAAAGTTATTTGGTAGATTAAATGTTAATGAAATAGGGTTATGTCCCTTTTCTTTGCCAAATAAGTACGCAAGAGGTTCATAGTTTTCAGGAACAAAACGGTAAATCATTATTTCAAAAGAGGCTCACTCGGGACAGTCAATAACTACTGCTTCAGGGTGCCCCCACTGCACTGACTCCATCTGCTGGCAAGCTCACATTGAAGAATATTAGGAGGAAAATCTCTGGAGGATGTCACCCTCAGGTGTAATCAACGCGGTGGTAGGAGTGGTGGTGGTGGTGGTGGTGTTCATCAAAGCCACTGCAGGCTCTGCTGCTACCGGTGTCACTGTTGGTGGGACATGATTGAAGACCAACGGTAAGTCCTGCTGGCCTCCTCCTCCTGGGAGATGATTAGATTGAGGATCCGGTGGAATTGCAGGGAGAATGGGTTGTAGAGCTGGATATAATGCCTGAGTTGCCGCATGTCCAAGCACGGCTTCTGATTCCTCAAAGCGCTTGCGGTTTGCTATGTGCTTCTTCCCCTTCAGATGGGTTTGGAAAACAAGCTGTGTCTCACAGGTGACGTTACAGAGCTCGCATATCAGAGGAATGTGCCCTCCTTTGGGTTTAGGTGGTTCGTTCAGCTTTCTTCTAGAGCTCTTTCCCCCTCCACCTCGTCCGCCACCTCTCATCTTGCGCTTCTGCCCACTCCCTTGACCTTCTCCTCCATTGACGGCGGCATTCTCCACTGCAGGTGGGGGCACAGAAGATCCTTCCTCTGTTGCCTGAGCTTGAGAAGCTTTAGCAGCCATGGCTCTCTGCAACTCTTGTTGAACCTTGACATTCTTTTGGTGTTTCTTTCCACTCTTGTGCTGCTCCAGGATTTCGAGGGTGTTGCACTCAACCCTACAGAGTTCGCACCATGCCATGCGAGGTGGGGGCTGCACCGGACCCGGAGGTGCTGCTGATGGACGACTCTGAGGCTGACTTCGACGACCGCCTCCCCGCCCACCCCTTCTGCCTCCCCGACCACCTCTATGTGATGATGATTGCATTATCTGTCAGACGATACAAAATAGAAAATGTAAAAATCATGTCAGTGGAGTGGTAAGAGTCTGAATATGGCCCTGGATTCCATCAATTGCAGACAGGAGAAGTAATATCCAATAAAAAAGTGGAAACTCTAATGACATAGAAAATACATTCCACGATCAAGAGAGTGGGCTTGCCAACATTCTGTCAATTCATGGTGTTAATAACTCGGACAAAACATTGAGACAGAAATGCTTATAGTTAGGAGGTGGTTCAACTGGTTTTAACTGATATTATCCATGTCTGTGAGTATACAGTTATACACACACTCATGCATATACACATTACAAAAAGAGCATAAATTCAACCAGGCGACCAGAGCCGGGTGGACGCTGTTGGAAATAGTTCGGAGGTTTGACTGGTTTAATTGATATTATCGATGTCTGTGTGTATACACACACCCGTGCATATACACACATACATTCACACACACACATACCTATTAATAACTCTGATTATCAAAAGTTCAAAACACTACAAAAAGAGCATAAGTTCAACCATATAACATCAAAAGCAAATTTTTAAGTTGAGTTGATGATAACCAGACTGGATACCTGGAAGGTTACCCCTTCAGCCGGTCTGGCCTGATTTTCAAAATCATGGTTATGGCATAAAGCATAATGTCAAGCAAAAGTACGAAGAAATAATCTGGTCACCCAGCAACCATCGTGCATAATTTCATATGCAATGATTTGAGTTCCTCTTCATATTGACACTGAAAGGAGTTAATTCTTATTCTGAAGCAAGACAATTAACATACAATGTGGGCCTTAAACTTCAAAGACTCCTGCGTAAATATCTAACAGCCAGCACTACCTCAACATTACCCACACAAGTAGGACTATAACATCTACACGCTGCATGGCTTATTTATTTTTGTTTGGCTGTCAAACAAAACAATAGATACCTAAGTAAATAAATACTCGTACCTTTTATGTTGGGAGTTGTTAGCATCCATTGCCAATGGAGCTAAAATAGTCATTTTAAACAATGTTTTAGCTTCGGGTAAATGATGGACTAACCCAAAATGGTACATTAAACTTTCCTTGTTTCTTACTCCCTCCATCCCAAAAAGAAAACTCTTTAATTCCTTTTTGAGACGTCCCAAAAAAGACTCTCCTTTCCTTTTTTGGAAAACTTTGAGTGGCTCTCGATCTTTCTCTCTTCTCTGCATCATTTTCAACCACGCTTTTCCACTTTCCTTAAATTTTTTGCCAAGTCAAGCCAAGAGCCATTTTTGGGACAAGGGGAGTTCATTCTAAGAAGTGTTCTAGGAAGTGTTGGACAATAAATGCATCACAGGTCTATGGAAGCACCCACATAGCACTTGTTTGGTTCAATAGAGTGGAGAGGATAAGAAAAGAGGGAAGTAGTGCGGACGAAAAACGAAGGTGGTTTAAAAATACTCTGTATATGGTTGGTCAATGAAGTAGTGCACAGGTAGTATTTTGGAAAAATATGTAAAAAGAGTTTTTTATATGCTCCGTAATTTTTTGTAATTAAAATTTGAGTATATTTCCTATATAGTCCTTTATAACATGCTTGTTTCCAAATATAGTCCTCTATTTCAAAATATTCTCTTCCTCTATATTTGAAATCATTCCATAGACAATCCTTTTGACTTTTTGAGCAAAAATGTGGAAAAAATTATTCCCTTCATGGTCCTCTATATTTGGAAACTTTTCCTCAAAAGGACGGAATATGGAATGATTTCAAATATTGAGCACCACGGAAAGAATATTTTTAGAACAGAGGACTATATTGGGAAATATCTTTGTTATAAAAGACTATTTAGGGAATTTACTCTTAAAATTTTAATAATCCATGTGTATTAATGATAATGTAACCCATGTTATATATTTAAAAAATCCTACAGACCTTGTCAAGAAAGAAACATAAATACCACAAAATCCTACAGACCTTGTTTTCCTTTTTTTTTGGTGGGGGGGGAGAGGGGGGAAGATGAGTTAGGAGTGTTTCTCATAGCACCTCAATTTTCATCCCCTTCACCCTAACTCACCCAATGGAACACACACAACCCCTTCACTTTCCTTCCCTCCCTTCTAATACCCTCCAACCAAACAAAGGCAACAAAGGCTGAAAGGCATAATGAGTGGGTTGCTGTGCGAACGAAGCAAAAGAAAAGTAAAAACGGAGTACGGTTCAAACTTATAACTGTTCGGCGTGCCTGTATCATCTCAAACACCACCAAAATCTTCAACGAATTCCAATTCTTGTGACTAACCATTTCTGCAAAGGACAAAGAAAACTTTAAGTAGGACTGTAAGAGAAAAGCGTACACTGAGCCACACTATAGGCTGTTCAAGCTTGGTTTGTTGGCAATATGCAAGCTGGTTTGCACTTGAGTGTGAGCTTGAGGTTCCAATTTAAGACACAAGCTCACCCTGTCCAGCTTTTCTATCATTTGCATTGGCCATTCAGCTCAGCTAATTATGCCCTAGGGATTAGCAGAGAAAAGATGACACTTGTCACGAGGACAATCGATTCCGAGGACCCAAACATCTTGAAAATCTTGTATAGTAATTAGCTGAGCAGAATAGTCATCACATGGATTGCTCAAGTTCCACTCCTCGTTTGGCAGGACTCAGCTTGTATGAGAAATAGCGTAACCAAGCTCAAGCAGTTTGGTGAAAAACAAGCAAAAGATGACCATATGATTAGTAAGGGTAGCTTAATATACAAAACTTCAGTTTTAATTGTCACAGTGTAGTTCACCATCCAGTGTCTCGTTTCACATTGGACGCAATCCTTCTCTAGTCGTGCCATTTTTTTTCGTTTTCTATGTCTTTACAATTGATTTCTCTCAATCCCAACATAGGTGGAAAACAAAGAATGTTGAATTGATAAGATTAAGGAGCACAGACATCAATATCATTGGAATTCATAAACACAATTGTCAATGGAGACCTAACTCTGCTAAACTAAAGTATATCATTGACAGAACTGATCACAATCGGGGCCTAATTCTGCATCTCAAGATGAATTCCCCTAATATTTGATCAAAACCTTACACCAAAATCCAGAGCTATACATGACATCCCATACCTGGGTTGGGGGCACGGGCGCGTACACCCCTCCGTATTCCATTCCCAGCGGTTGTGGATGCTGGTAATAGGAATACTGGTATTGAGCGGCGGCAGCAGCGGCGGAGACCGGCTCGGATAGTGGTTGAGGCGGGAACTGCGTCCCGGACGGGTTGGCAGGCGGTGGTTGTTCTTGGTGGTGGGGTTGTTGGTAGTAGGCGTCGTATGCCGCTTGTTGAGCGGGATCGTAGTATGCGTACTGGTACGAAGGTTGATAGTAGACATAGGTGGATTGATTGGGGTCGTAGGCATACGAGGAAGCCTGGGTTTGCTCCGGCTGAGGAGGATGCTGCTGCTGCGATGGATCCATGGCGATTTCCTCTGCTCCTCCTCCTACCTTCCCTGGATCCAATCCAATTTACACGACATACCTTCTACCCTTCTTTTTCAACCAAAAACCTATTGTACAACTTTCTTTGTTTTAATCTCATAAACCGCATTTACAAAATAAATTAACTTTAATAACTTAGTAGCATCCCGTACTAAAAATAATATTCCGTAATATAGTTAGTATTAGTGTATTGTAATTTTAGTTCACTTTCAAATTGTAATTGAAGGGAGTTGAGGGGTATGTTCGGGCCGGGACAGAGTTATGAGGATGATGGCAACCACCAATTTTTCAAACGGGATACTATAGAGTTTGGAATTCAATATCACTTGAACCTTTCTATTCACAAATACTTCGTACTATTTAGGGCTAAATTGTTTTTATTTATTACTTAGTTTGGCTAAGTACGGAGTATTTGTTGAAATAACATATTATTGTCATCTATTGTTCTATATAACATTTGATATAGTTTTAAGTAAATTGAATGGAAAATTAATTTAGTTAACCAATGTAATCCACACTATATACTTAGTTTTGGGACGGATAAAGTGATTTATACTAAATACTTTTCTTTTTTTAAAGAAAAGATGTATAACTAGGATTGATGGGTATAAACAAATGACAGCCCGATCTAGCAGACTATGACCGAGCTCGCAACTAACCACCTGGACGGCCGGGCGGAGGACCTTCGAGGTGGACATTATGGGTATGACCAGACAATACGGGCGACCGAATGAACCAGAATACCTGGGACATAGTCAAGTGCCGATGACTAACCGATGAATAAGGTACCGACCATGGCACCACTTGGATGTGACAGCACAAGTGGGGACGATGTGACAAGCATGACTCCTATACCTATCACTCTACAACATGAAGTTCAACGTGACACAAAGATGACCATAGTAAGAGTAACGAAGATCTATAATAGGATTGAACAGTATTCTTTCGGTTCCCTATAAATACTTATGCAACCCATCTAAACAAAGAGAGACGAACTAGAGCGAAAAATAACACTACTCAGAGTCTGTTCTTTAATGCTTGAACTCTTAACTTCCAGTTTTTTCCAGTTTCTTCCAGTTCCTTCCAACTATTCTCATTTTCTTCAAACTCTTTCTACTCCTCAACCAATTACTCTAAAAATGATATATTTTAATGTGATTGTTATTATTATTATTATTACTATTATTATTATTACAACTGTTGTGTTCATGACTATAGTTTATAAATTATTATTTTCATCTCACTATTTTTATGATTCACACTCATTATTTTTTCTTCAATTTTTTATTAGGAATAAGACATTTTTTTATATATTAGTCTACATGATAAAACAGGAAAACATCAATATGTTAAATTATATTAAAACAATTATGGATAAAATAGTGACATTGAATGTTTCATTAATCTAACTTTATATAAGACCTCTTATCTTTCCCTTTATTACTTAAAATTTGCTCATTTTTCTAATTTTTATAAAAAAAATTGTAAGTCAAAATAATTTAGAGAAAAAGACAAAAATAGGAGTAAACATAAAAAATGCAAAAAAAAGTTATATGTCTTTATTCCAAAAATAAGACTTCAATGAAAATAAAATGTCAATCATGAAAGAAAAAAAGAAGTTTGATTACATTGTGTGAAATGTATGATATTTAAAACAAAATATTATAATATATAAACTATAATTACAAATATTTTATTTATAATAAATACTGCATAAATAAATTAAGGTGCAATATAAACACAAAGACTTTTTAAAATTTAATATTTTTATATTTATGCTAACTTTATATTATAATTATTTTTTTTTGCAAAAGTAGTTTTTGTATTTAAAAAATAACAATACTTTTTTATATCTTAAAAGCATTCATTAAGATAACGTGATGATGATGATGATAATATAATACGGAGTATAATATAATATAATATAATATAATATAATAATAATAATAATAATAATTTATAACAACAAGTATTTAGAATAAATGTTTTTAAAGTTTTTTTAAGTTTTCCAATTTTTTACAGTTTTTCGAGTTTCTTCCAGTTCCTTCCAGTTTTTTTCAGTTTTTTCCAGTTTCTTACAGTTTCTTCTAGTTCTTCCAGTTCCTTCCAGTTTCTTACAGTGTCTTCCAGTTTTTTTTCAGTTTTTCCAACATCCAACTCTTTTTTACAATTATAAAGAACAGGCTCTCAGAAGAGATTGAAATCACTACTTAATTGGATTATAACAATTATATTTTGCCTTTAATATATCTTGTTTCGCCTTAGATTAAACCAAATATTTTACGAGGAATTTACGTAAATAGCACTAAAACATAATGACTTTCCCTTGATAGCACCACATGTACTTTTTTTCCCAATGTAGCACTTTTAGTCATTATGCATTAGTCATTATTCAAGTAAATATTTGTCATCACCGGACATTATGAACATTATTAAGTGCTATTTAGGAAATAAAACAATTTAATTGCTATTTAGGGAAATGACTTAAGTTTTAGCGTTATTTAGTGCAAATATTTCATATTTTACACCATCAAGGACTAAAATTCATGATGTGGACTTTTATGTTATTCATTCATTTTTTTGAAATAAGATTGCCTTTATTTATACCGGATAAACTAAAGCCTAAAAAAGAAAGAAAAAAATAAATTACATATTCTAAAAGAAAACTACTCCCTCACGCAGCCACAGCTGCCAAAGCCGTCAACCACCGCCGTCGGTTTAGCCGCTGCACCACCCGCCACCGGCCGCCATTGTTCCATAATACCCCGCAGTTGTCAAAAATTCAAAAACTTGTGAATACGATGCCAAAAATATGATCAAACAAGCCACAATACCCACCAGCGCAAGTGGCTGGCTCTCTCTTTCCCATCGCCATTTCTGCGAAAATTGATCACTAGTCGGCCTCCGCAGCCGCCGCCATCGGCAGAAGCTCTCAATTAAAGACTGATATCTGTCTGCAATAACAAGATGAAAGACTCAAAGAAGCAGCTTATTGACTCGCTCACCTCCCATATTTCTCTCTATAATTCACGCTCATCAAACCCTGCAACTTGCCCTAACCCGAGATCATCAATTCTGAAATGGTTCTCGTCCCTCACGGTTCATCAAAGGCAAGCTCATCTCACTGTCGTCGACGCGAAATTCACCCAGATCATCTTCCGAATGCGCGGCAAGCTTAAATCAAACGGTAATGGGTTATTTATTATACTCCCAGATATCCCCGATTGCCTAGGTAGTAGCCTTCCTAGCATCTGTTTTCGGAAGTCCCATGGTCTTCTAACTCGAGTTGCAGAGAGCAACGAGGCTGAAAGATTAATTCGAGAATCAATTCGGCTTTTTGACTCAAAAGAAGGGGAGGGTATTGATGATGGGTCGTATTCAGCTGATAGTTTAGATTCTTTGACTGTGAGCGAGGATCTTGTCGGAAGCATGGATCAGTTTGTGGATGCCATGGATGCCGTTTCAGACGGGAGGTTTTTGAGGGGAGAAGAAAGTTGCATTGGGTCGGAATGGGCGGAACTGGACTGGTTGAAAGCGAGAGGGTATTATAGTACAGAAGCATTTATTGCAAATAGATTGGAGGTAGCATTAAGGTTGTCATGGCTGAGTTGCACTAATTGTAAGAAGAGAGGCGCGAAGCTGAAAGATAAGGTGATTTCAGCTGGTTTAGCTGCAAATATTTTTTGGAGGAAGAAGGGATGTGTAGACTGGTGGGAAAAGCTGGAAGAAGCAACAAAGCAGAAAGTGTTTCTAACAGCTTTGGGGAAAATTGCAAAATCTCTGGTACATTTGATATAGAGAATTACTCTCTCTCTCTCTCTCATCGTTTTATTTTGCTTGCAAATATTATGTTCTCCTCTGCAGTATTCATAATTATAATTACACGATCTATTGGATAGTATTAGATGCTGAATGATGGAATAATTCTAATACATTTTTTACTTATGAGGTGAAAAGTTTGGATTTGATTGCTCATTTTAGTTAATTAGGCGCTCACATGTATCAGATACTTTGGAAGTTAAAATGGCAGATCTGCTAACAGAATGGATTGGGCCCTTTAAAGGAAAGATTTGATTTTTTTATATATTTTGGGCAGAAATTGAGCATACATGCTCAATAGGAAAGTTGATCATGCATTAATGTATAACCTTTGATATGGAAACTGAGAGTAATACCTCATTGGCAAAATAAAAAAGTAGGCTAACAGCATGTGTAGTATCTTTAATTAACAACGATCATTGGAAGGAGAACTAGAGGATCGCTTGAGTCGTAAAATCTACCTTAACCCCCCGCCCCCCAAAGAAAAAACGAAAAAATCTTGGATTGAAATATCAAATTCACTGATCTCTAGTATAACTATCTCACCTATATGTAGTTTTGACTGAAGAAACTTGTCTGGAACCTGGTTCATTGCTAGATCCCTAGTGCAGCAGGATTAATGAACTTAGCTACTTTTCCCTTTTCAGTTTTGAGATGTGCATCTTCTACTTTTATAACTCTCTAGTGTCATATAGGGCTCCATTCTGAGCTGTTTAGCCTGTTTTTACCCCTTTTTGTGCATATTTTATTTCAGGCTGTTTTTACCCCTAAATGGTTGTTTTGTAGTGTGTTGTATTTGTTTAGAATCTTTTGCTATTGCTTGTACTTGTTGCTTGTACTTGGCGCTTTATATGGGCTATATTGTGTTCCCTTCCATATTTTTGTGCAGGTGGAGCCGGGGGTCTCTTGGAAACAGCCTCCCTACTTCCGAGTAGGGGCAAGGTCTGCGTACACACACCCTCCCCAGACCCTACTATTGTGGGATCCAACTGGGTTGTTGTTGTTGTTGTTTTATTTCAGGCTGCTGATATTTTCAAGGGGAAAAAAGGTGTACTTGATGANTAGTGTCATATAGGGCTCCATTCTGAGCTGTTTAGCCTGTTTTTACCCCTTTTTGTGCATATTTTATTTCAGGCTGTTTTTACCCCTAAATGGTTGTTTTGTAGTGTGTTGTATTTGTTTAGAATCTTTTGCTATTGCTTGTACTTGTTGCTTGTACTTGGCGCTTTATATGGGCTATATTGTGTTCCCTTCCATATTTTTGTGCAGGTGGAGCCGGGGGTCTCTTGGAAACAGCCTCCCTACTTCCGAGTAGGGGCAAGGTCTGCGTACACACACCCTCCCCAGACCCTACTATTGTGGGATCCAACTGGGTTGTTGTTGTTGTTGTTTTATTTCAGGCTGCTGATATTTTCAAGGGGAAAAAAGGTGTACTTGATGAAAACACGTGGCAATACGGTGGCATAGTTGACCAACCATTTAGGTGCACCACTACACTGCCACACCAAGAATGCACTGATGAAAGTTCTGTATCGAACCCAAGATCTCTTAGTCAGATGCCATCATCGTTAATTTGTGTACTAGAAGGTTTATCTATTCTTCAAAATATTTCCACCATGTTGTTTGAATTTCAACATGCTTATTATGAAAGAGAGAGACTGTATTTTAGCTCCTTAGAATCTATTAGCTTGATTTCTGATTGTATATTAAGAAAGCTGCGAGGTTTACTCATGGTCATCTCACATGAGTGTACTAAAGTTGAACTGTTGGAGGATGACAAATCAAAATCATCTTTAAAGAAAAACAATGAGAGACTTGGCTCTGGCAACAATAAGAAAAACCGCAAGAACAGTAAAGTTAAAAAGAAAAATCATGTTACAAAGCTAACAGCGGATGGTGTTACACTTCCAAGATCTCTTGAGGTACCACTCCATGTCTTTATTCTTGTGAACTCAACAATTTGGAGAAGATTAAATGCTTCCACTCACTATCCTTTTAGTAAAATGGTTTTTTTTCTAGGTTGATCGATTTGGATTGGCACATGTTGAAGATGGACACGTCTGTTCATCTAGTAGCTTGGATTTTAAGGTGCAGCAGATGGAATTTGATAAAGATCCTGTTCCTTCTATACTTCACATGGTTGTACTTGTCTCTTCAATATGGATCATCTTTGTTTTTTCTGATGGCAATAGTTTGTGACTGGTTGGATCTCACCAGGGACATGGAAAAGGACAACTTACTAACACTGTCCAAAGCGTTTCCAAGAAGAAGAGAGAAAGAAATAAGTGTAAAAACTCTAGCTGCAAAGTTTCAGCAGAAGCTGGCAGCAACCAGAAAGGTCCTGTGAAGTTTTCCTCTCTACCTCTGTCTTGTGAAGATCACCATTTGGAACCTGCTTTGTTAATTGAAAATTTAGTTGAGGAAACGTCAAAAGTTGATGTTAATGAGGATGATAACAGTGATGAACAGATTACAAGTTGTTCAGGAGCTGTGCAGATGGGCAGTGCAGCAGAACTCACTAAGGGATTCCATTCTACTGGTCGTGCAGACGGAATAAGGACTTCTGCTCCAATGTGCTTCCAGGCCTCAGAGAGTGTGCTAGAAAATGAAAAGGCAGCTGTTGCATTAGAAACATTAGTTTTAAATACCAATTCTAGTGTAACTTCTCCAATGTCTTTGATGGAAACTGTTAATAATCCTGAACTCCGTGATATAAACAGAGAAAATAAAAATGGTTTAAATAGAGAGGTAATGAAACAAGTTGTATTGGGAAAACAAGAGAAAGTTGGAGATAAGGAAGAAAAAATCTTCTCTTTTCAGGAGTGTGGAAGCATTGATGTTCATAATAGTGGGCCTGCAAATGCTTCAACATACCTTTCTTATGAATGGCCCAGTGTAGCTCCTATCCACTTCCAATCGGGTAACTCACATATCCCACCTGCTACTGATAGACTGCATCTAGATGTTAGTCACAATTGGCAACGCCACTATCACCAATCTTATGTACGCACTGTGCATCGTGTTAGGAATCCTTCAATTGAATCAGGGTGTACAGGCATTATATCTAGACCTTTAGCAATGAGCCTAGACTGGCCTCCTATATTACGCGGTGTTAATGGAATAGCTACATCTGTCACCTGCAATTATGATGCCGGATTTCTCTCAAGGCGACCATCTTTTCAACAGGACTTAGCTAGCCAAAGCATTCACTGCAATACCGTGAGTGGTGATGATGAAAGGGTGTATTCTGGCGACCTTGATTTTTCTGAATCTACAAATGTGCAGGAAGCGTATGATGAACACGAGTACTATCGTATGCCAGAAGAAGAGTTAGAGGTCCACGGTCTACCTGGTGTGGATTATAATCAGTACTTTGGTGGTGGTGTAATGTACTGGAATCCTTCGGATTTTCCTGGGACAAGCTTTTCACGCCCTCCTTCTCTTAGTTCAGATGATAGTTCTTGGGCTTGGCGAGAGGCAGATATGAATAGGGCTGTTGATGATATGGTTGCTTTCTCTTCTTCTTACAGCACAAATGGATTAACTTCTCCGTCTGCCACTTCCTTTTGTTCTCCATTTGACCCTTTAGGATCTGGAACGCGTGGTTATGTTGTATCAGGAAGTGAAGTAAATACCAGCAAGGTTTCTCAGTCATCAATAGCCACATCCTCTGATCTAGTGGGAGAGGAGAATTCTCCAGCTTCCTTGTCCAAGGTGTCTCTTGAGAGCGAGACAAAGGCCGGTGATACACTTACATATCCCATTCTTCGACCAATCATCATTCCGAACATGTCAAGGGAAAGATCAAGATCTGATTTCAGGCGTAGCCATGATCGTACAAGTCCTTGTATTCCTCCTAACAGGCAGGAACAACCCCGGATGAAGAGGCCACCATCACCAGTGGTTCTTTGTGTTCCACGGGCACCTCGATTGCCTCCCCCTTCTCCTGTTGGTGATTCTAGAAGGCACAGAATTCCAACAGTTCGCTCTGGGAGTTCCAGTCCTAGGCATTGGGGTATGAAAGGTTGGCTCCATGATGGAATTAACTTTGAAGAAGCTTGTAAACGTATGGATGGCAGTGAAGTAGTTTGGCCACCTTGGAGAAGTAAAAACTTTTCAGGTCATCAGTTAACTCAGCCTCTGGCTGGAGCCTTACTGCAAGATCACTTAATTGCAATATCACAGTTAACTCGTGACAAGGAGCATGTAAGCATCTTCTCGAATATCATGTTTCTTTTTGTTGGTTTTAATGCATAGAGTTCATCTTCTTTCTTTCCATCCTATTGGTGCAAATGGTGTACTTTTTTTCTCTTTCCATTTCCAGCCAGATGCTTCATTACCTCTTCAGCCTTCTGAAATGTCAATCGGATCCACAGAAAAGACACCCCTCAGTTTGATCCACAGCAACCTTCATGATGAAATCAACACATTCTATAAAGAGGTACGGTGCTAGATAGTACTTTCAGGAACTAGTTTTTACTATTTAGAATGAAGTGGGATGTAAAACCTTTATTTCTATCAGTTCTGTATGTTACTAATTTACTATTTCATTACTTTCATATTATATGATGACAAGGTTGCTGCGGAGAATTTGATCAGGAAGCCTTGCATTAATTGGGCTGTAAAGCGTGTTACACGGTCACTACAAGTCTTATGGCCCAGATCTAGGACAAACATCTTTGGGTCAAATGCTACAGGTTTGTCACTTCCTTCAAGTGATGTCGACCTAGTGGTCTGTCTTCCTCCAGTGAGAAATTTGGTGAGTCTGATTTTATATCAGTCAATCTTGCTTACTTCTGCATTTATTGTCGTACACACCTTCCTGAAAAGAAAGAAAAAGGAAAGAAGAAGCCTCATTGCAATCATTTTCCAGGAACCTATTAAAGAAGCTGGTATCCTGGAAGGAAGGAACGGTATCAAAGAAACATGCCTTCAGGTAATTTAGATTATGCTCAAACCAATGAAACAACTATCTGTGGATGATCTTTTTGATGAGATATTATGATTTCTTTGCCAGTGTTATCACAAATAACTAATAGTTGCAACAGATTTTTCCAACTTTTTAAGAATTAGTAGGTTTTTTTCATCAATAGATTTCCACGAACATGTTAGAAAACTGATAGGAAGAACAGATTGGTATGCAGAATAGAATTTTTATTGATTGTGAATTACATACAGGAATGCTATGTTCCTGGAATATTTATTGACATCAACCAACACAACTATTGACACTAATCAACACAAGATAATGATTGATTATGTTGAAGGTCTTTTATTGATGGGTATTGACGGAGAAAATCTTTGTGCTGTTTTTTATTTAAATTAATTAAATATGTAAAACACACTAAACGACACCACACTAATTGACTCTATACTAACTGACCCGAACATTGACTCATTACCCATTCGGTTATATGTGAACAAACCCGATTAAATCTAACAGAACATAGGTGGCAAAATACACATAACTTGGGGTGAACAAGTTGTCTTGCAGGATTTCATGCTTTCACATGGAATGTGTACATAACATTGCATAATTGTAATATAATGAAAAATGCATAGATTCTGCATGTTTTAACTGCATTGCATGCATTTCCTCAGTTGTATTTTCTTTTTCTTCATTGTTTGGATGGCTTTGATGGGTACGCCTTCCTGCTTTTTTCATAGAATTGCCTTTTTTCAATTCCCACTTCATGTTGTGTGCTTTCTGCTTGCTGTGCTTTTCTGTCGTTCTTTTTAGTTGTTCTTTGCTTTTTTGTGCTATATGCTTTCTCTGCTTTTTGTGCCTTCTGTGAGCTTGTGCTATCTGTGTTACTTGAGCCAGGGTCTCTTGGAAACAGTATCCCTACTTTCGAGTAGGGGTAAGGTATGCGTACGCATACCCTCCTCTTACCGTACTCTTTGCGGGATTTGACTGGGTTATTGTTGTATTGTCTATGTCCACTTAAAAATAGTTACTGCTCACTCCATATATATTTGCTCAGTTGAATAGATATGTTTTGTAAGAGATGGACTTTTGACAACAAGTTAATTTGCAGCACGCAGCAAGATATCTTGCTAACCAGGAGTGGGTTAAAAATGACTCTCTCAAGATTGTGGAGAATACTGCTGTAATGCCTCTTCTCTTTTCTCATTGCTTGGTCTTTATCATCCCATAATTTGTTCATTCTCTCTATTTACAAAGCATCCAGATGTTTACCATAGCATTTTTGTTCCAGATACCTATTATTATGCTTGTGGTTGAAGTTCCTCTTGATCTCATTACCTCCTCTTCATCACATTCACAAACACCAAAAGCCCGAGCAACTGGTGAAGAAGTCAATACCTTACACACTGATGTGACTGGTTCAGAAAGCTGTACGTCTCCAAAATGGCCTACAATTGATGCATCTGTCAAGAATGTAAAATCAGTCCGTCTTGACATTAGTTTCAAATCACCATCACATACTGGCCTGCAGACTACTGAGCTGGTAACTATTGTCGTTGGACATGACTTCTTTTAGTTGCATGCAGATGAACTTAGATGCTGGCATACTGCATAATATTTCTCTCTTTTTTTGCTGCATTATATTTATCTTTATTGCTTTTATATCCCGCTTAGTTTTATCACATTACTTCTAATTAAGGTCTACCACAGTACCACACTGCACCACACTTTTTACATAGACTGTGCTCATGAAGCGTGGATTGTATTATTTTTTCTATTCTAAGCATGTTTCTAATTCACTTGGTTAATCATACTGAATTTGTGATGTTCCCTTCTCTTTATGATAGGTAAAAGAGCTCACTGAACAGTTCCCTGCAACTAAACCTCTCGCTTTGATATTAAAACAGTTCTTGGCAGATCGAAGTTTAGATCAATCATATTCTGGTGGTTTAAGTTCTTATTCACTGGTAAGTATTTACTCTCTGCCCCAAACATGACTCGTTTTTTAAAAGTATTTTGTCCCAAATAATGGTCACGGTCAACAAACAATGTTCAATTTTCATGTTGTTTCCAAAAAGGGTATCTTACATGGTTTAAATACCACGGAGTAAGTTGTTAAACTAACCAATAAACTGAAAATATTTCTGTTGAATTGTTAACTTATAAAGTTGTACCTTCCCAAAGTTCAAAAGTTCAATTTTTTTGTCAAACAAGACTGTTTTTTATAAACGAAGGTAGTATTTGTATTCACCAAGAAGTTAATTTTTTTAATCTTTCCACTTACAAGCCTTGTCCTTTTCAACTTCTAATTTAAAGCGTCTCATGCTCAATTACGCTTTCAAAAGCACAGTAAGTCATACCGGTAAACATATGACAGGCCAGTTCTCCGCTCGTCTCAAAAATTGCTTTGGAGAATTGTTAAATATGTATGTACCCGTACCTCTTAAACTGCCTTGTTGAACCATTACAATTTGGGATTTATCACAATTTAACTCGAGCTAGGGAATCCACTAAATTCGGAAATTTCTATTTTTCCAACATTCTTACATACATACATCAGTAACCGTGAAGATCTGAGGTTTGCAGATTCAAATTCTAACACATGCTTCACACATCTAAATCATCAATGAGATTGATTTGTTTTTATTTTCTCATGCTAATAATTTCAAGTTCTATAATAGGCCTCACAGTAATTGTTTTTTATTGCTTGACAGGTATTATTAATAATACGTTTTTTGCAGCATGAGCATCATCATGGTCGCTCTACTGTCCAAGTACACTTTTTTTCCATTTCATTTATCATTGGCGTCCTTCTAACCTTCCAATTTGAACTGGGTTTGAGTGTTTATGTTGTACAAGTCTCGTGTCTTCTAGACTTCACAAAACTACTCCCTCCATCCACTTTGAAACTTCCTAGTTTGACCCGGCAAGAGTTTTAATGTAAGATGGAAAAGTAAATGCATTCCCAACTTTGCCCTTCTTATTATTTTAAAGTAAAGAAAGAGAAAGTTGGAAAGGAGTAAATGAGTAAGGGCAGTTGAGTCATTTTAATTGTTTGATGTTACCAGAAAGTAGATGGGAAGAAAGGTAATGGACGCACCAAAATGGAAAGTGGGAAGAAAAAAAGTAGACAGAGGGAGTATATGTTTAATACTGTTACAGAGCTTGCACACAAAGATGATCATAATAGCATAATTTCAAAATCCAAAAGGCCTGTCTAAAAACTAAAAAGAACATGGAATCATGAGATGTATAAGAATTATTAGCTTGTTATTGCTTTTTTTAGTTAATGAAAGTACCTCCAAGGGCTCCAACTTATAATTAATCATTCTGTTGGCAATGTTAACAAGTCTAGTTGATGTTTCTTTTTCTTTTTCTTTTTTTTTTACTTTGTTTTAGAACTATGGAAGTCTGCTCATGGATTTCTTCTATTTCTTTGGGTAAGTACTTTGTAAGAGAATGAATCTCTTCAGCATTATCCTGATTGGGTTCTAGTAATTTTAACTGTGTTTTTTTCTTTCCCATGGCTATTAATGGACTAAGTGAATGAAGAGGACACCTTGAAGGTAGTGAGGGAGGGGTAGTGGGTGACCCATATCCCACAGTGTGTAAAAACAATAATGATTGATGGTTTGTTGCAGATCTTAGTAGGAAATATACACAATTAACCAAAAGTCAACAGAGAAGTCATCTTATCTTCTTCTAGAATATATGTGAGTCATCCGGCTCTAGAGGATAGTTTTACTCAGCCTCAATTTACATTACAATCTTAGGCAGTTTGTTCTTGGAAACAGCCTCTCTACTTTGGAGTAGAGATAAAGTCTGCATACACACACCCTCCCTAGTGGGATTCAACTGGGTTGTTGTTGTCGGTTTGTTATAACAAATAGTACATGTGTACATCATCTAGAAAGTAGAAAGTGTTTTCCTTGAAGAATGCTTTTGTATTTGGCTATATAGGCTCTGCTGTTTTGAATAGAGGGAATATTGCCTTTATTAACTCTACTTTTTTGCATGGTTTATTCTCATTGTTCTCTATATCAGTTCTGCTTTATATTATGATTATTTTTTGTTTCTACCCTCACCCTTGAATATATATAACCCTTCAAAATGAAAAGATAAAGTGAAAAGCATATAACACACTCTTATCCCAGATTCATTAATAAGCTTTCTTTGTGTGTTAGGAATGTGTTTGATCCTCGCCAAATGCGTGTTTCGATACATGGTAGCGGCTTATACATAAATAGGGAAAGAGGATGCAGGTAACAAAAAAAAGCTTGCAGTTTTATCTCAGGCTTGAGATGTGTAAAGCTTCCTATTAATCTTTGTTCTCAAAGATCTTTTTTTTTGCAGCATTGATCCAATTTATATAGATGACCCACTTTTCCCCACCAATAATGTCGGTCGGAATTGCTTCCGTATACATCAATGCATCAAGGTTAGCTTATACGTATCCGTCCAATTAGTTCAATGAGTAGATATGAGACATGTTTTTGCTTTCCTTACCACACGAGATCTTAGTTTGCAATTTAGAGCGATCATTGTCTTTCATGAAGGGTTCGCTTTCTAATTAGAATTGTTTTATCATTAGCCTGCTTCGTATAAGAAAGCCGATTTTGTAAATTGAGGCGCATGTTGTCACAAGTCCAATAACATATTTGCGTGTTTTTCTGTTGTAGGCATTTGCAGATGCTTATTGTACATTGGAGAACGAGATTACTTTTGTTCCTACCAATGGCGACACAAATGCAAAAATACGTTCACTAAAGCTACTTCCCAAAATTATTCCAAGCATTATGCAATTGAATGGTTTCCAAATATCAGGAGATTATGATTTGTGATAATGAGTTGTTACAGGAGGGTGTAATGTCCATGCCAATGTAGGGTGCACTGTTTATGGTGACACTATCACCGGTACGTGGCGGCAGGTGGCGGAGCTCTCCATGACAATGTGATCTGTTTAAACTTCTGTCACCTCCTCTAACACATATATGCTTCTTCACTGTAGCTACTGCAAATTTAGGGTGATGCAATTTGATCAGATTGAACACACACAAGCTATGGAAAAGACTCATGAGGAGGGGGTTTTCACCCTTGAAAGAACTCAAGATTTCTTTTAGAGATGGGTTGATGAATAGCCTCTCAAATACTGTAAATTACTCCCTGTCCCATTTTATATGACTTGTTTTTCTTAGAATGTTTGACTGAAGTTATTTCTAATTCAATTTATAAGATAATCGAGGTAGGGTAAAAAAAAGCAAGTATGACATGACTATACTATTCTATATAGTTACTAACGAAAATATGTAAAGAAAGTGAATAAAGTTTGATCTTAGGACATAGAGAGTACATGAATCAATGGCGAGAGAATATATTGTGAAAAAAAAGATATATTCTCATTTGTGTTTGAGTTTAGTGTAGTATGTTAAACTAGTGGAGTTTGGTTTCTACTGCATTTTAAGTTTGAGTTCGCTATAATGAGTTGGAGATGGTCTTAGACATTATATTTCATGTATATTTTACTACTTAGGTTCTCATGACATTGGAAATCAATGTCATGTGATGATCCAAGATTCTCACAGTATTTTGTTTGTAAAATTGATGGTTCTTACCCCCTAATTTTCTTGGTAAACCTCCTACTGAGAATCAAAGTCAAGTAAGAACGGATTGTTTAACCCTCTAATCTCCGGTGTTCCGTTCGTAAAATTGATGATTTTTATGACATTGAGAATCAAAGTCAAGTAATAACGGATGGAATCGTTTTAGAAGATACCACCTTCGTCCCTGAGTAATTATAAGTTTTGACTTTTTTTGGTCAATCATATTCAACATTTGTCCTATAAGTAAATAAAATATATTACATATTAATTATAAAAAATAATATTTTGAAAATATTGATATAATAAATCTATTTCTGTATCGATATCTAATGTTATTTTTATTTAATTTGAGGTTAAGGTTTACAAATTTTGATTGAAATAAATTAAAAATGGACAAATACTCATGGACGTAGGGTAGGGATTATTACATCTTACAAGATTGTAGAACCTTATTTTGAACAAAGTATGGTATGAAGAGTGTTATCATACGGATCGGAGTATATCTAATGTGCACCACATTCTCACATAATTACACAAAAAAAGCATAAAATTGAAAAAATTAAAAATAAAAGCACGCCCTTATAACAAGTTTTTTCTAATGCGGATTATAAATTTAACGTCTATGTAAAAAAAATTTCTAATTTGAGATTAAATTTCTAAGACGAAAAAATTATAAAAAATAACCAAAAATGGTGTTATAGAAGGAATAATAATAATAATAATAATAATAATAATAATAATAATAATAATAGCAATAATAATAATAGTTGTTGTTTTGTTATACTCATAATAATAGCAATAATAATAATATTACATTCTAAAATATTCAAAAGTCACGTGAACTTTTGTTTATTTGTTTGTTTTAATTGATAAAATAAAATATTCTCGTCAAGAGAAAATATATGTATTCTGTGAGATCTGGATAGTAGAGCGAAAGCACACATGGGTAGCTTAGTTGATCCAAGACTCCAAATAGAGGATGTCAAACCCAAGGTCTTAAGATCAAATCCCGACAGCAGCTGTGTGAGAGTTTTTTTCTTAATTGGTGATAGTTCCATGTGTGCACTAAACACAGGGCGACCTATCTAAAAATATAACAAAAATTATACTATGATTTATCCTTCTCACTATCGTAATGGGTCAGGAGTGAGGGCGCTCGGAGGTAGGGGTGTTCATTCAGATAAATTCGATTCAATTTTTTAGATACTCGAAATTTTTGGATCGGCAAATATCTATTCCATGTCCGATCCGGAAATTACCACATACCCGAATTTTAGATATCTAAAATTTAGTATCGGATCAATGGAATATATGGGGAAAAAATTATATTTGTTTTTCTTTTTAAATTTTTTACTTTTTCTAATAATTCTAAAAAATATTTAGAATGTTTTTTACTCCCTCCGTCCTATAATGATCTTCCCAGAGTACTATTCCAACTTCACGGGAATTTATATTTATTTGTGTTTTTTCATGGCCTATATGATAAAATAAAATATTCTTGTCACCACTTATTTTGTTGAACTTTTGGTGTAGTTTTTAAATATGTATGTTTTATTTTTTATTTCTATACCAATATTTAAATAAAATAGATTGAAAAAACTTGGGATTTTTCTTCGTTTTGCGAACCGGGAAGATCATTATAGGACGGAGGGAGTATATGTTAAAATAGTGAAAGTTATAAATCAGACTTGAATTTGAAGTGAAACATATTTTAAATGTCAAATTCACCTTGATAGCTAGTATAATGATAAGTCATAATTTTATAAATGTATGAAAAAAGAGCATCCACATCATTTGACTAGAGTAAAAAACTTGACTTATGCTTAAATGTATAGTTCTATATATATGATGATGATAAAAATGAATTGGACGTAGGTTGTCTGACTTTGTTTTTATACTTATTTTTTTAAATATGAACGTCGGATATTTATAGATATCCAAAACCTTAAAATTTCATGCTACACTCATTTTGATTTTTTTTGAATATCCAATATAAAATATTTGAAAGCTAAAATATCACGTTGGATTTCAATTTTTTCAGATCGGATCGACTCAGATCATGGACGAACCCTCCAATTCCAATATTTTTGAACTCCTGCCCTGGGGTGGGGGTGGGGGTGAGGGGTTCCACCTTTTGGATAGTGAAGCATAAAGGCTGGCATGCAATTTGATGGGTAGCAGGGGGACAAAGTGGGCCCACGAAACATCGTACGGTACACAGTAGGCAGTAGTAGTGGTAGTACTATCTCTACCAGAATAAACATCCGCGTGTGGCGGTATGCGGTTACCCTCCGCCGTCCACAAACACCCATCTTTCCGATCATTATCAATCGGAATTGAAGTACTTCTCCCTCTATCATTTCATTTTCCGATCAGTTTTTTTTCTTTTAATATTTTTGTTAATATATGCCTCTAATATTATTATTACCACTCTCAATTATGAAATTTGCACTGAATAGGACTAAAACATCATAAGTCATTTTTCAATATAAGATTTAAATTTTTTTATTCTCTAAATAGAACTAAATAATGATTATGGAGAAGAATAATACCCAAGTGATGCTGGACATTTAATTAAATAATGACCAATGGTCCTACACTGAAAAATAAAAACATACAGTCCTATATTAAGAAAGTCATAACGTTTTAGTCTTATTTTGGTAAATTACTCTTCTCAATTTCTCATCCTAGCATGTATCTATCTTAGCACAAGAAATAAAGTAATGCGGTAAGTAAACTCTAATTAATTTTGACTCAAGTTGACGTCACTTTATTTTACACATAAACTCTATCTCTCCCTTCCCATTATAATTTACCTTGTTTAATTTTGTGAGTTTAAAAAAATATTGAAAAGTAAAAATATATAGATATAATTGGTTAGGAGAATGAGCGCTACTTTGGTGCATATAAATTTTGTGAACCTTTGTACATAAAGTTTTTTTATTTTTTATTTAAAAAAACAAATGCTAATTTAAATAGTAAAAAATATTTATTTTACTCATATGTAGGTCCATGATGAAACTTAAATCCACCTTAGAATTTGCCTAGCTAATAGAAAATACAATTGTAGATTGTTTTTTGAGGAATAATTGAATTTGGGATGAATAAAAATGAAAAGAAGATTATTCATTTAGAGACGAAAGGGGTAATTGTGTTTACTTAAGATACCCGACCCTGTACAATTTTACTACAGTATATCATATTTTTATAATATTTTCAATTAATAAATAAAAAATTAAATGCACATATTCAAAAACTAATTCAAAAGATCTACAAAATAACAGTGGGGCTCTAGTGACACCGGCGTATGGTGACCCACTGTCATTTTAGGGCATTTCCGGTCTTCCGTTTGTAAAATTAACTATTCATACCCCCAACCCACCCCCTAAACCCCTAACCCAACCCTCGCCCCTGCACCCCACCCCAACCCCGCCGTAAGCCCCTACAAAATGTTTGGCTATTATGCAATAGCCACACATTTTGTAGGGGGCTTACGGCGGGGTTGGGGTAGGGGTGTAGGGGCGAAGGTGGGGTGGGGGTTTTATGAGATGGGTTAGAGGGGTAGGAATCGTCAATTTTACAAATGGAGCATCGAAAGTGCTCCAAAATGATAGTAACAACGCTAGTGTCACCAAAAATGGGTGTCACTAGAACCCCACCAACAAAATAAATGTAGACAGATTATTTTCTTATTAAAAAAAAACAATGAAAATAGGTAAAAAGGATGATAGTCGACCGCCGTTTCGAACACCTCGAGAAGTGTTGTAGCCGCGGCCAGAGAAGTGTATAGCTCAGCTTTTGCTTAAAAAAAGAATACTGAGCAGGTAGACCACGAATAACATGCAACATTAACAATATAAAATTAAGGATGGTTAGTTTCACGCGAGGCATCTAGATTAATAAGGATTGTTGCAACTTCATCAAGATACTGTCATTTGGTACCTTTTTAGAGAGCATGTAACTTGTCATGGAGTTGATAAATATGGGCGGGAGACGGATTTGTACCTTGTTGCTAACGCCTTCCGATCCACAAGGCAGCATATGTTTTGAAGCTCGGATCATGTTTATGAATGACAGTGTTGATGATTTCAAGAAGACATGCTCGGATCTGAGTATCATTCAGTCCATGAAGTGTATATTTAATCAGGAATAGGAAACACAAAGCGATTTGAGCATATAGCGACCACGTAAGATAGTTTGTATCCGCGATTTTTCAGGGATAAGATTATGAAGATTCTGGAGTAGTAATTTTACCTAGAGGGAAAAAAGACATGGAGATCAAACAGGGATGCATGAGGGATAGAGTCGGCTTAATAGCTCGGCCAAAAGAAAAAGAAGACTAGACTTTTGAAAACATTAGCTCTAATATCATGATACAATTCGATAATAATTAATCTTATTAAATAATAATGGATACATCATATCGTTATATATATGAATTACAAAAGAGAATTCCAATCTAAGTATGAAAAGAAATATAGTAAGAATACCATAAGAAAATAATATAAAAAGAAAAGTAATTAATTTATTTCGAATTACGTATAAAACAGATGAAAAATTCAAATAATACCGACCCCGTTGTGATGATTCCAAGACTCCGGCCATCATATCATTGTGAAATGGCAAATCATGCATGTGCATATTGAAAGTGATGCAATTAAGGAGGAGCCGAGGTTTAGTCACACAAATTCAAACTGAAATTTTGATGGATCGATCCATCCATCGATGTCAGTTTTAGGCAGGCTGTAGCCTATATATATATATAGGCAGGCCAAGAAGATCAGATATGGTCAAATTCCAGGAATGTTGAAAAAGGAAAGAATGCGGAGTTCCAAGGAGGATTTCCACCCTTTGAGATTTATTTGCATTTTACACTAAACCAGCAATAACGTAACTCTATAGTGAGATGACTATTTATGTTTTTTTGCATCTTTGTCATTAATTATTACTTTTATCCCTCTATTTTTTTTAATAATTCATGTAAGTTTCTCATTTTTTTAACGATCAAATTCAGTGCTCAATGTTAGAGGCTTACACTATGTTTGATTTACACTATGTTTGGTTCAAGAAATTTGAGAGAGAAAAAAAAATGAGAAAGAAAACATTTTTCTTATTTAGTTAGAGAGGAAAAAAAAAGTATATTGTGTAGTTGCATTTTTTGACATAACACATTTTTAAAAATTAATTTTTTTATCAAATGATTATAACTACATTAAATGGTGTACTCCGTAAAAAAATAATTTAAGAGAGCAGCAAGAAATTAGTTAATGTTGCTCAAGAGAAATAAGGATCATTAACTAATGAAAAATACTCCGTACTAGGTAACGTAACAAACTAAAGTCTTGTTTGAGAATAGCACTAAAGATTAGCATTGGTATTTTGAGAAAGTTATCTATGAGCATCGTTTATCTAAAATGCTAACGCTAATCGAAAATGTTATTTCCAAACGGACCCTAAATGCATAAACAAATAGGAAAATATAATTAGACCCTAAATGCATAAACAAATAGAATAGGGCCGGTCCCGAAAAATGAAAAAATAAAATTAGCCCGGTCCAAAATTTACATTTTGTGCCCTATTTTGTATTTTTAGAATACTTTTACTTTAAAATTATTAATAAATTTAAAAATATGGTGCCCTAAATTTTAAGGTGCCCTGTGCGGTTGGCCACTTTGCACACCCTCCAGGCCTCCCATTTAATAGAAAAATGTATTTATTTAGATTAAGAAAAATATGGATAAATAATACTCCCTCCGTCCCCAATTTGATTACAAATTGTGGGCTACGGAGTAAAATTTTCTATTTTTTGAAATCATTTTATTTACAAATTGGGATATCAATAAGATATAAAAATTACATATTACTGTAAAAAACTACATGAAAAGTTTTACAAAATAAGAGGTGACAAGAATATTTTATTTTATCAAATACTTAATGAAATCATGTAAACAAACAAAAGTTATCGAGAGGAGAGAAAAACAAAGTTGTAATCCATTTATGGACGGAGGGAATACATCATAGTAGAACCACTAGCATTCAAAAAATATATAATTAATTAATTCCTCATTCGTTAGAGCATGTTGGAATTTGGATAACAATCCGAGCGAAAACAAAAGAATGCACCTCAATAGACTTCCTATAATATACTCCCTCCGTCCATGTATGATCTTCCCATTGCGCGTTACGGGGCTTGACCGACTTTATTTTCAATTCAATTTAATTGATTATAGAAGTAAAATTTTAAAATAAAATTTATATAGTAATAAACTACATGAAAAGTTCTACAAAACTAGAGGTGACAAGACTATATTATTTTATGAAATGACTAGTAAAATTGAGCAAACAAAGTGAGTAAAGTTTGACCCTGTGAATAGTGTCTGGGAAGATCTATGGTGGACAGAGGGAGTAATTCATAAGACCAGTTTAAATGCTCAATCAGTCCCAAAGTAATTTATACTACTCCCTCCGTCCCAAAAAACATGGGAGTTTTGATTTTGAAGAGGGATTTAAGGGGAATGTATTTTGGTATTGAATTTCCAAAAATGTCCTTTGATGTGATGGATAAAAGTATGATTTGATGGATAGATTATTGGTAAAAAGGTATGATGTGATAGGTAGGGTATGAAAAAGTAAGGGGTAAAAGTGACTTTTTAATAGAAATGAGAAGTGTTTTTTGGGACGGATGAAAAAAGAAAGGAGAAAGGTTTTCAGGGACGGAGGGAGTATTATATTTTAAAAAATTCGATAATTTTTATTTATTTTTATGTTTTTATTAATTATTTGATAAAATATTCTGTAAAAAATTTGATAATCTTAAATATAAAAATTACGCAGTATTTTTTTAAAAAAGACTTTTTATTTATATAGAAAATTATTAATAAAATAATTTTTCAATTAGTATCAAAAGAGTCGCGTTTATAACAAAAGTCTGATTATAACTTTGACAAAAAAAGAGACAAAAGGGCCTTTTCCGTCATCAAAATGACTGTGCGTGTCAAATTTTGGCAAGATGATGACGTCAAAAATACAAATGCTAAACTGTGCCGTTTCGTCACTATCAATAGCCCCCTCCCCAAAAAATCAGGATTAGCCATTTGATTATATGCATGGCTACCAAAATCAGCGGTTAATCCCCTTCTAATTACCTCCTAATTACCCTCCCATCCCTAATTAATCACTCTTCACAACAGTCAGTTCAGCGGAGATCGACGAGGCATCCCCTTCTTCCTCTGATTTTTCCTCCGCCGGATCGCCGTCGCCGTCGCCGGAGGAGGAGTAGACGAAGCCCGGAAATAAGACGATCCCAGACTGCTCCTCTTCTTCCGCACTATCTCAATGGCGAGCTCCGTGCTAGCAAGCATCCGGCGGCAGTCCGTCCATCTCCCTCCGGCGCTGCTGCCGCTTGCACTGGAAACGGATTCCGCCGGTTCAAGCACCGTCTCCGGCGTCATCTTCTCCTTTTCTTCTTCGTCTTCCTCACCCGAGTTCGGCTCTGGTTGGATCTCCGGCGATTCCCAGCCGTAGATATGGTCGGACAACTTCGCCCCTGTTTTCACCAAGTGCTGAAGCTGAAGAAGATCGAAGACCAAATCAAAAATTTCTTGAAACGACACCGAAAATTTCAATCTTCAAAGAAAGATTTACGAATCAAGAATTGTTTGAACCTTGCAGAAGATGGAGCAAAAAGTGAAGGAAGGTTGAACTGCTCTGTAGCAAGTGACACAGGTCTTGGCGGAGATTCTGCAGGGCTTTGAAACCGGCCTCTGCTTCAGAAACAATACCTTTTCTCCATTGCTAATGTAAGACTGCAAACCCAATTAAAGAAAACAACTAACCCAGATTCAAGATTGACGAATAATCAAACATTTGAATTCCTCATCAAGAAATTTTATAATCCTCGGGCTGCAAATGCAATTACCTGAACAAGAGCAGAATCGAACCATTTCTGGGCATCTTTGAGCCTCAAAACATCATGATAGATGTACCTCCGGATCTGCAAGAGACGGTGGGAGCCATGGAGGATGAAGCAGTGAGGGCAGATGGCCTCGCAGCAGTCCAAGCAAAAGACCTTCTTCTCGTTGTTCCTCGCCTCTTCGTGAACGATACAGGCGCTGAAGTAGTTCTCCGTCAACAGAGCCGGCAACCATCCCGGCAGAAGCTGCTGAGAATTCTCCGCCGCCGGCGACGACTGCAAATTAAAGAAACCGAAATGAAAAAGATCAATAATTTTTCAAGCAAATCAAGAAAGATTTCTTTAAATTCAACCCAATCGGCCGATTGAATCTACAATGAAGATAAAAAGAAAGAGAGGGAGAAGAGGGAGAGAGGGATTGAATGAGAAGAGCCACCATTTTCAAATTCTCTTGTTTTCTCTCGGTTCGAGCCAGAGAGAATGTGGGAGTGGTGGGGGATGAATAAAGGGGCGGAAAACAGAGACGACAAAGAAAATTAACAGACCGTGAAACTGGTACTACTGGTTCGTACGAGTGTGTGGGTGTGGGAAAATGGGGAGGAAAAGGCTGAATCAGCCATTAAAAATGTTAGAAAGAGGTTTTGTTGGTTAGCGAGGCCGGGAAGAGGAGAACGGCGCCTGCACAGCTGAGCACCTGCGCCTTGCTGTCTGCTTACCAACGGCAGGCAGGTCGAGGACGACGGACTATATCACCGCCGTTAATTCTCGTCCTATGCCATTCTTACCCAAACTTTTAAAATGCCAATTTAAAATGCTCATTTTGATTTAGTCTTGAGATACTCCATAGTTTTTCAATGCTCCTTTATGTAATTTTTTTACTCCTTATTTCATTACCTAGTCCTTTAAAAAAAAGAATTTTAAAAGTAAAAAGCAAATATATTAGGTTGAATTCTGATTGTTAAAGATGTGACATGATGATGTGACTTAATGTTGTGTGATTGTATATGTTTGTGGTACTCTTCTGTAAGTTAATTCTAGCATTAGATATATTCTCATTCTGCTTTCAGTAGAGCGTGTAGTCTTTATTGTCATAGACTGCACACAGGTACGAATCATGGATTGGATGAATATTCTAGCAGTTAGTGATGCATGGCAAAGTGAATGACGTGAAGTTGTTTTAATTTAAATTACTTATTTTTTCTGAATTCATTTATCAAGTATCAAGAATGTCTTGGTGATGTAGTTTTAAGAATATTTTATCTAAATAAGACTAAAACATAATGACTTTCTTAATATAGGATCATATATTTTTATTTTCTAATATAGTACAATTGGTCATTATCTATTAGTCATTGTTCAACTAAATGTCCAGCATCACTTGGACATTATTCTTCTCACTAGACATTATTAATTACTCCGTATTATTTAGGAAATAAAAACGTTTAAGTCTTACACTGGGAAATGACTAATGTTTTAGTCATATTCAGTGCAAAATTCACTAGTTTTTAAAGGCTTTTCGCAATGTTAAATTTATTTACTCCGATTAACTTAGTTTATTTGAAGTTTTTATGTATACATGTTTTATTTTAAATGTTTTAAAATATCGTGCATGTGAATGCCAAATTAGTAGCAACCTGATTTGTTAACTTGGGTGTTCAGGTTCCCGAGTTGTATATAACAAAAGACTAGAGGAATCTTTGTTTTAAAAAGAGGTTTAAAACATTTACTCAAGTCCGTCATAGATCTTTTCAGTTACTATTCACATGGTCAAACTTAACTCACTCCGTGTGCCTATATTTTCTACTCATTTCATAAAACAATATAGCCTTGTTATACTAGTTTTGTAGAATTTTTATGTACTTTTTTACTATATAAATTTTAGTTTTAAATTTTATCCTTACAATCAAATGAATTAAAGGAAAAATTATCTCAAATAATCCAACCTTTTCACGTTCTTTCCAAAGTAATCTCACTTTTCAATGTCATCGGGAATAATCTCACATTTTTGCATATGTGCGAATTTTGGGTCGCCATTAAAAAGCTAACGGGCGCTTAAAATTTTTTTTGGAAAAACCTATTTTTTCAAATAAATGAAATGTGGGATTTTTTAAAGTAAATTATCTTTTTTTCATTTTTAAATTTCTAACATTAATTTTTAATGTATTTTTAATAATGTTTTTATAAATACTACTCCACCAAATTTAAGCATTCTCTTAAGAGTGAAAGTATTTATTTTTTCAATAATTGAGAATCTGGGAATGATTGAACAATAAATTAGTCTACACAATGGATTTATTTACTTCATAACTCACTATATTTTTTTGTAAGTTTTAATTATTCTTGAGTGACACTTCGATTTATTTTTTGATATTGTACTATTATTTTTTTTTAAAAATAGTACTACAAAACTTATGAATATTTTTTATTAATTCTATATACTAATTTTTTGAAAAACAACATTACAACAGTAGTTAAAATAACAATATAATTTTTTCTCTTAAATGGAACTTTTATTTTTATAACTCACAACTATACACTTTTTGTCGTATTACAATTTTTCATGAACAACAGTCCGAAATGTATATTCATAATCATTTATTACTTGTATTATTTTTTTAAAATGGAACTACACAACTTGTGATTTTTTTCGATAATTCAGTACGTACAAATTTTTTCCTCAAAATAATATTTCAAATGTTGTGAAAATGACACAATAATTCTTTTCCTCTAAAAAGGCACTAAATAATTTTATAACTCACTACAATTTTTATGTATTGCAATTTCTTTCTCGGGTGATACTTGAAATTATTTTTCAATCTAATATTATATTTGTATCGGAATATAAAACAAAATTTATAAATCGTTATGTTTTTTAAAAAAAAAAAGTGAGACAAATCTCTAACAAGAGTATATTGTTATATTTTTTAAAAACATAAATTTAAAATTTAAAAAAATTTAAATTTGCATAAAATAATCTCACTTTTCATTTATTTGTAAAAAAAACAGGCATTTTCAAAAAATTCTCTTAAGTAGATTATATGGGCTCACAAGCTCAATCTTCTTGACCATATCCATCCAATAGGTCCACATATTCTTAGAACATTACATGGGCCTGGCTTATCTTTCATGACTCCCGCCTACTCGGTGGACAGTGGTGTACTTTTTTTGCTTGGACCAAAGTAATGGTCTACAAAGTCATGCATATACTTTACTAATTACGGAGTAATTATACCATACTCCATATTACTCCTCCCCCTAAGATGTTCTCATTTTGACTTTTGGTGGTTTTTAAGGAGAGTTGAAAAAATGTGAAAGTTTATCATAATACCCTTAATGAAAAATGGGTGGAGTGTATTAAATGAGGTGGGTGAGATGTAATATATAAAGTAAGTGGGGGTAGTTGTGGTATTTTAATTGTTAAAAAATGAAATGAAAAGATCTATTGTGGACTAAGAAAAAGGCCTATTGGGAAGATGTATGGGGGACGGAGGGAGTACTAATTACCTTTCAAAATTAATCTACCTTGTGGCGGATCCACTAAGGAAGAGTAAGGGGTAAATGCCCCCAACTAATTTCTTGTGATAAGGTTAAAAATATTATTTTTTAAAATTTTATATACATATGCCCCCAACAAAAAATTAATGTGATCTTATCTAATTTTGTCAAATTTAAATTTTTTTAGTAAAGAGTATTTTATTGTATAATATTAATTGTTTATAAAATAAAATTTCACTTTACATATTAAAAAATGTTTTACATTTAATAAATATTTGAAATAAGACTTATTATTTTTTATCATTTCAAATAGTTTATCAAAAAATGTAGCGACGCTTCTAGACTACCGATTAATGATGCCCCCATCTACTTCAATTCCTGGATCAACCTTACACGCAGTTTAAAAAATTGAAATTAATGGATGAAAATGATGCAGTGTAGAAGGAGAAAAGATGAGATACAAAAAATTTTCCAAAAAAAAAGAAGAATATTTTATGACATCCCAAAGAAAATGAGGATTTGTTTGGGACGGAAGAAATACATAAGAATAATCCTGTTTTGTTTTTAGATCATATCATAGGGTGAAATCCCGAGCCTTGAGAGAGGTTACTCCTAAACATACGTTTTGGTTAATTACATTTCAACTTTTCTTGTTGCAACAATTGGCGTACACCCACTAGTGAGATAGCTAACTTAGGGCTGTAAACGGATAGCCGAAAATCCGATTACCGTCCGCATCCGTATCCGTTTGAAGAGGAAATATCCGCATCCGTTTTAAACAGATATTATCCGTATCCGATTAAGGATATCCGATTACTAAACGGATACGGATCTGGTAATTGTATATCTGATCCGTTTAAAATCCGATCCGAATATGCATCCGTTTAAATAACCGTTTATCCGAATATCCGATCCGTTATATATAGTTTTTCCTAATTTTTTATGTTTATAATTTGTTTCTCTATTGATATTTCAAAATATAAGACATTTTTATATACAAAATAAATGTGTAGACACATAAAAATAAATACAAACATATAAAAATATGTGTATATGTGTGCTTTGTATATCGTTTTATCATATGAAGTTATCGTAAAATATTATAAATCATGAAAACAAAGAAAATAATAATCTCATACCAACTTATAGTTGATTTAATAATAGTTTGACTTTAATCTAATTTAAAATTAAAGTATTGTTTAATTTGATTTTAAAAATTAGAAACGGATACGGATTTATCCGATATCCGACCGATATCCGACGGATGCGGATACGGTTTTGATTTTCAGTATCCGTCAAGATCCGTATCCGAATTCGATATCCGACAAAAATAAACGGATACGGATTTGGTAATGGCACATCCGATCCGATTAATATCCGTTTACACCCCTAGCTAACTATCTCAAGCTACTCTTATATTTTTCTTGATTTTAGCAAGTGCATCTGCAATTATGTTTTAGTCCTGAAAGACACGATAGATGTGAATAATGATGTTCGTGCAGGACCACTCGTAGTGTCTTTACTAGAGCTGGCAAATCGGTCGGTCAGGTCGGGTTCGAGTTCGGTCACTTCGAGTTTGGGTTATTTCGGATTCGTGTTGAGAAATGTATGTTCATGAGTCATGACCCATTGTCATCGGGTTCGGGTCGACCCAATGGGTTATGACTTTGGTTTTTTAAATTTTTAAATTAACACTAACACTTATATTTTCTATTAAATAAATTTAAAATATCAAAATAAATGTATTAAATATATTAAATTATTTTATTTTAAATTCTAAAGTAATTTTTAGATATAAAAATCAATATAAGGAATTTTAAAAATGCTTAAATTTTTCAAAAAAGTAAGATAATTATGCAATATCATTAGAATTTTGTCTGAAAATATAAATTTATATACTAAAAATGAGTAGTAAAGTGTATGATTTTAAAAATTTCTTACTTTTGCGGGTCGGTCAGGTCGGGTTGGGGTTCGGTCGGGTTTGACCCATTTTTAGCGGGTCATTTCGAGTTCGGTCAACTTCGGGTTCGGTCAACAAAACCTTTGTTCAAAAACCAGTGTTTTCAGATCGGGTTTCGGGTCAAAAACAGGTCGGACCATTTTTTGCCAGGTCTAGTCTTTACCTTGAATAATTTTGGTTTTTGTACATATAAATAAAAATTATAGAGAAAACTTGTTTATGCC